ATTAATTGCATTAAGGATATGACAAAACAGTTCAATATACACTAAAAGTATAAGACATTAAAACAGGTGTAAATCAAAACACTTGAATATTTTGTACACTAAGGTCATAAGACAATAGAACAGGATAAGGATTTACTTGAACTTCTTATGTAAGACAACAGAACAGGATGAAAATTTTGTACACATTTAGCTCATGACAAGAATAATGAAAGCAGTTGAAAGTTTTGTACATTAATTGCATAAGATTGGAACAGGATATGACAAAACAAGGATTAAGACATTCAAAACACTTGAATATTTTGTACACTAAGGTCATAAGACAATAGGATTTGTTCAATTTACACACTAAGGGACAAAAAATTAAGTTGAAAATTTGTACAAAATATTCAAGGGAACAAGAATAATGAAAGCAGTTGAAAGTTTTGCAAAATTGGAACAGGGATATGACAAAAAGAAAGACATTAAAAAGGCTGAAATCAAAACACTTGATTCAAATAGAACAGGGATAAGTGATTTACTTGAAAAACAACAGAAAGTTAAAACAGTTGGAAAAACAATTGCAGTTGAAAACATTAATTGCATAAGAAAAGGATATGACAAAACAGTTCAATTGTGTACACTAAAGTATAAGACATTAAAACATGAACTTGAATAGCAATTAGAACGGGGGATTGATTAACTTTGAACATTCAACTACAACAGAACAGGTTAAAAACAGTTGAAAATTTTGTACATTTTTACCAAAACGAAAGTTTGGAAGAAAAGTATAAGACATTCAGATTCATTCACTCCAATAGAATGCTGTTGCTAATTCAGTCAGCATAAATTTATGTACAATCCAAATGAAGGGATAATTTTTCCAGATTATTATAGAAGATATGAAGGGATTCTTCAAAAAGGATTGTTTGCATTGGAATGATGAATAAAAAGAAAGTTCGGTTATTATTAAAGAAATTGTCACCTGCTTAACATGAAAAATATATAAATGATATTTTGCTGAAAAAACGAGGAGAGATAAATTTTGATGAGACTGTTCTAATACTATCAAAAGGTTTTGGTGATAGGAATTCATTATTTAATAAATGATTGCAATGTTTTAACTTAATAAAGTTCAACAACAAAGAATTTGTCACTTATGCATGAGTCATGAATCAAGAATGTGAAAAGTTCAAGTTAAATGAATTAACTCCTGTTTTATTTAAATGCCCGCTATTTTTACAAGGTTTAACTTCTAATAAGGATGCAGGGATAAGATCCAGGACACTTGCTAAATTAGAAATGGATACCAAATTAACTCTCCAGAAAATAGCGGAAGAGTGTTAACATATTGTGAATTTGAAACTGTATACAACATGGATTGAGGAAAAAGACAATTCACAGGTCTATAGTGTCTGACCACCTAAGAGAAAAAAAAAACTACAAACATTTTTCAAATACTAACAGAACAGTAAAAAAAGATGATGCCCCCTCAATACCTAATAGTTGCCAACGGTCGTGGAGGTAAACATTTTGAGCTGTAAAACATGATTGTTTCCTTCATAGTGTCTGAAAAGAAAAAAATGCTAGGAACAGAACAGTAAAAAGATGGGACAAAAGTATGTATTGTAGATTTAAAAAATAGAAAAAAGATAAAATGTATGTGAATATGATAAATATATGGAGTAGTGATAATGAAATTAACATGACATCTTAAAAGATGAAATTTGTTTTTGTGTAAATTAATGATGTGAAAATAAAACTGCAGCTAGATACAGGATCTGATATCACTATCATAAATGAAAAGACATGGAGAAATATGGGTAAACCTAGTTTATTGACATCTGATAAAGTTATGCATGGAGATTCAGGAAGGAGATTGAACTTTTTCGTTGAATTCAACTGTAATGTTTCTTGTGTGGGAAAAACCAAAAAAGCAGTGGTGTTTGTATTAAAGAATACTGCTAATTTGTTTGGAACAGATTGGATTGCATTGTTTGATCTTTGGAATCTTCTAATTAACTCTTTTTACAACAAGATAAATATTGTTACCCCTGGTACTAGTATGGCAACTGAAAAATTGAAAAATAAACTGAAAAAAGAGTTTTCCAGAAGTTTTCTTAGAAGGTCTTGGGACATGCACAAAACACTAGAAATACACTATTCTAAATGTCCATGTTAAAAAAGGAATAATAAAATTTGCATATGTGCTGAGTTTTCAACGGGACTAAATGAAAGTTTAAAAGTATGTCATCCAAATTTGTTTGACCACAATGTGGTCAAACAAATTTAAATGACATACTTAAAAGTAAGACCTGAAAGCAAAACATGGAGAAGATGTAAAAAAAGTCTTTGAGAGAATCAAAGAATATGGTTTTAAGATTAATGAAGGAAAATGCAAAATATCTAGGAGAAATTATTGATGAAAACAGTAAGACGGATCCTTCAAGGGTGAGCATGATAAAGGACATGTCCACTCCAGACTTAGAGGTCAACATTTTGTAATATCAGGGACACATCTTCAAATCAGTGAGTTCCACAAAGCAACAGCTCTTGAGACAAAGCTGTCCGAGTAGAACTTAATTCTCATTAATGTAACCTGATGGGAATGGAGATGTTTCATCCTTGTGTATGTTGCATGACAGGTACAAGATGCAAGAGTTAGAAGTGGTGGAACCATGGAATCTTGAACATCAGAACACTTGCTATAGAAATAGTGATAGAATATTGAGATGCATGTATTGCTTCATCTGTGGGAAAGGGATTGTAGAGTGCTAAATAATTCATTGTCAACAAAGCCACAGAGATGCTTTTGAACTTTATCAAGTGAGAATTGTGTAGCTCCAACCCAGATATAGCAGCTATATTCCATTTTTGATCTGATCTGGCTTTTGTAATGATAAAGTATAGCAGGGGGAGTTAGATACTTACTGGAGTGATACAATGAACTAGCCATTTTCCAGTATTTTTAGCAATGGATTATGTATGTTCCACTTGAGGTCAGAGGTGAGCCTGAGTCTCAATAGAGGTTCAAAGCAATGAGCCCCTTTGAGAGAGCACTCATCCATTATGGTAAGTGAAAGTTCAGGGTCTGTTTGTTGATGGTGGACCCCTACTAGTTTGGTTTTGGATGTATTGAATTTTAAAAGCCAGTTCTTCCCCCACTGAGCCACCAGGGCTAGGTCAGAAGAGAGATCAGCTGCCAGGTTCTGGCCATCCAGATTTTTGGCAGTGCACCTATAAACATCTGCATAGATATTCACTAAAGATCAGGGTATGTTTTTTGGCAAATCATTAATATAAAGCAGAAAGAGGGTAGGACCAAATAGATAACCCTAAGGAATGTCAGCATTGATCTTGTGGGCTACCAATGATTGGCTGTTAATGACCTTCACGTACATATCTGTTAAGGACTTGATAATTGAGAAAGCCTGCCAGAGATTCTATTGCAAGAAAGATTATGTAACAGCGCCCAGTGCCATAGCTTGGCAAAACCATACCATATCCAAGGCAATGGTTCTTGTGATGAGTTTATTGTTCAGTGCATTGCTAATTCTGTATTAATTGCTAATGATAGTTAAAACATCAGCTGTGGACCTAGCAGTGAAAGATTGATGCTGGTTATCACTCAGGATGATGTTCCTGCTGAGGTATTCAATAACCTTTTTAATGATTATAGATTTAAAGAATTTGCTGATGACACTAAGAAAGCTAATTGGTTGATATTTTGACAGGTATGAGCACTCACCCACATTCTTAAAAACAGGGCACACAATAGACACCTTCCATAGACTTAGGAAGAATAGCTCTCCTTCAGGCAATGGTAAAACAGTTCTGCCAAGATTGGTGATAAATTTAGGCTGTTGTTGTTAAAAAGCAACCATTGGAATTTTATCAGAACCAGTGGCCTTCTTTGAGGCACAAGTGTTTTAATAAGTCTGGAAATTTCCCATGCTGTAATAAAGGTATTACAAAGTTTGTGCTCATTAAGAAGGAAGATGTCATGTAAGGGGTGGTCTTTATCGACTAATGTAGGCAAAAATCATTACAAAGCGACTTGCCTTGTCATATGAGGATGTAATAACTCCACAGCCATTTATGATAGCTGGCACTGACATTTTGTTTCTATTGAGAAATTTATTCAAAGTTTTCCAGAACTCACAGGAACCAAGACTTTTGTTTACAACATTGGCTTGGACTGACCATACACAGCTGTATTTTGCATCTTCAAGAATTCTTATGCAATGATTCCAGCAGTCACTACATTGTTCTCTTTGATAGAGATATTAGTAGCGGTTACGGAGAACTATGGATGAATCACATTCTGGCAGGAACTAAGTCTGGTTATTTGATTTCTGTTGGTATTTTTTTTTTTTTTGGAATAAAATTATCTTTGCCTGCAATGATCCATTCAGGAATTAGGGAGGCATTTCTAGAAACTCTATTTTTAAAGAAAACTGTGAGGGGAAACTTCTGCAATGTAAGATCTGAAGCTTTCCCAGACTGCTTTGGCATACTGAAAGATCATCATGGTACATAAGGGGATGCTTTCGGTTTGATGTCAACTTTAACATCAATCAGTGAGTGGTCAGGAGTGTCCGAGGGAAGCCGCATTTCAGCGGAGCATTTTTCAGGACAAGATGTCAGAAAGAGGTCTACAAGATTTGTGTGATGTCTTGTTGTACCAGGAACATAAGCATGCTTATCAACTATCTGGATCAGATCATAAGCAGTAGAGAAGTCGTGACAGTATCTGCCTTTTTCATCAATTCTGAAGGTGTGGACTAACCACTCCTTGTGGTAAATACTGAAGAGACGAGATATATATGTTGTTGTTGTTGTTGTTATTATTATTATTAAAAAACAGCCAATTCCTCTCATCCTAAAGATTTATGAAGTTAATCTCATGAGAACAACAGACAGAAATAATTTCTCAGCTCAAATGAGGAAAAAAAATGAGGAAAAAAAATGAGGAAAATTTACTTTCTTTGATTTTTCTGCTGATTTTTCATATTGACTTTCAGCATTTTTTGAATTTTTTTTCTCTTTTTCCTCTTTTCTCTTTTTCCTCTTTTCAAGCTCTTATAAATTCCTTCTTTTATTTTCTCATCATTATAATGAATTATTTCCTCCTATTCTTTTTACTTCATCTTTTTCTTTCCTTCATTTCTGTCTCATTATTCATTGATTTACTTTTTCTTTCTGCTCTCCTTTTTCTTCAAAATTGTTTTCCTTTTCTTCCATTTTTTTTTTATTAATTTTGGACTTCTCTTTTGTTTTCAGTTAATTCTTCTTCTTACTTTTTTTGAAATCAAATTGCTGTTCTTAAATATTTTCAACTTCTTTCACTTTCATTATCTTTTTTCACTCATTCATTCATTCATTCACTCATTCATTCATTCACTCATTCATTCATTCATTCATTCATTCATTCATTCATTCATTCATTCATTCATTCATTCATATCTACCCAGTGTTTTCTCAGTTTTCTTTCTTCCTTTGTTTCTTTTTTCATTCTGATTTATCTTTCATTTTATATTTTTGTTTTTTCTTTCACTTTCTTTAATTTTTTTCTTTCTGTCTTTCTTTGTTTAATTTATCCTTCCGTCAATTACTTTTCTTTCTTTCTTTCTTTCTTTCTTTCTTTCTTTCTTTCTTTCTTTCTTTCTTTCACTTTGTGTTATTTTTACTTCTTTTTTACTTTCTCTCTCTTTTTTGGTCCCCCTCAGGTCCTTCTCTTCTTTTCTACCCACCCACTTCCCCCACTTGCCTTCTCCATTCACTCTTCACTGATTTCTTTATCTTCTGATTATTGGCATTTTTTTGACATTTTTCACACAATTTCTTTGCAAATAAAAAGTTATCTCCCTTTGCAGTTATTGATCCACCTGCTGCCACCAGCCAAATATAGAATCATTTCAATTCACACAAGAAGATATCATGTGTAATATGCTTTCATTCTTTTTCATTAGCTTTTTTCCTCACCTGTTTCAGTAAGTGTCTGTCTTTTTGTGAGTCTGTATTTGTGCGTGTGTGTATCAGTGTATATATATATATATATATATATATATATATATATATATATATATATGTATGTATGCATATTTCTCTTATGTATTTGGTCTTAGATGTACATATAATATACAAATATCATGCAATGAAATATATTTATAGGATAAAAATGTGTATGTAAGTGTATATCCATCTGTACATGAGGATGTGCACATCTCTCTTTTTATATATAAGTGCGTGTTTGTGTGTGTATACACACACACACACACACACACACACACACACACACATATATATATATATATATATATAAACACATAAATATACTGTCTAAAATTTACTGTATTTATGGAAGATCTTTATCTATAAAGAAATAAATAGACACACAGATATGTGTGTATGTTGGTTTACAAATTATGCCTATACATGGATTATTTGGTTTCATTGTGGGGAGGGGGGGTTTCGACAACTGTTAGAAGCCCTCACACATCAAGTATAGAAAACATGTGGAATAGCCTGCAGGTTTTTACAATATATGTTATTTTTTAAGGAGAAATGTAGCGTGCACATTAACCACCCCATTCCATAAACGATGAGTTTGCGTGTCATAAAACTAATTCTATTGATATTTATTAAATTGAAGTTCATCAAGTCCAAAAGGTGTGAAAATGGAGACAGGAGTGATATCCTGCTGTGAACAGCCATACTGACATGAAGATCCTCATCACTTGAATATGAACAGACACACCATCTGAAAACAAAGAAATTGACGGAGCAAAAAAGAAAAAGATAGATACTCCAAATATGTACTGGAAACCAAGAAAAGAATCTGAAATATAGGAAAAAAAATAAATTAAAAGCAATCCTTGACAAAGAACTCTTGTTGATCTTTAACCAAACTTGAATAAATGAAAAACTGCTACCAAAATACACACAGTATGTGCTACATGCATTCAAATTGTAGATAAGTCTATATGTATGCAAAATGGTTTTAATGCATGTGATACTTGACTGACCAATGAGAACTGACCCCTAAAATATTGGAAATACCTAAGTTCTGTCTTTTTGTCTGTTTTCTCTCAATTTCAGACAAAGCATTTATAAAAATGAAACATGTGAGATTGATATACATTTCCAATTTGTTGTCTGATTCTGATTCATATTTGATCAGCATTTGATTTTTATCACTCAGTATGCATATATATATATATATATATATATATATATATATATATATATATATATATATATTATGAAATGGACAAAGTCCGACAATTATTTTAAGACATTTTTATGTTTATACATTTTTTTTATAGATACAAATATTTAAATAAATGCTCTGTTTATAATAAACAGTATTAAACAACATTTACCAGCCTGAATGTCCGAGAAATTTTCATAGAAAATATTCGTCCTCTGACAGGAATCGAACCTGTATCCTATACGGCACTATCATATAGTCTAATGTGCCTTTAACCGATTGGGCTACAGACGAGTGTTCAGTTAGCAAGGTTGATTTTTGGAAGATTGTAGTTTAAAAACAGTAAAATTGACCTTGCTAACCGAACGCTCCTCTGCTGCTCAATCGGTTAAAGGTACATCAGGCTATATGACAGTTGCTTGTTTTTATTTTTTGTTTCTTATTTTATTTATTTATTAACATAGTAAAAATTTGTTTATATCACTTATTTAACAGTTTTGTTTTGATTTGAGAGTTTAATTAAAGCTATTTGTTCAATTTTGGGGTTGATTGTTGTGGTTCATTCTAGCTATTATTTTGGCGGGAACAGGTTTTAATTGATTATCTTTATTTGGGATTGGTTTGTTTATTTATTTACTTGGATGAATTTAGATCAATTTATTTTACTTGTATATTTTCGGTTTTCGGTTTTTATGCAACATAGTATTTATTTATTTTTTATTTCTATTTTTTATTTTATTAGTATATTTATTTGTTTTTATTTTATTTTTTCCATTTTTCATTTTTTAGGTTACGTAGTAAAAATTTATTTTCATGCCTGCATTTTGAGATGAGCTCGGATCTTTTATTTAATAATTTATTTTCGTCTGGGAAAGTAATGATAGCTATTTTTTCCTCAAAGCAAAGTTTGCAAGTTTTTGATTGGTTGTTGTAGGCCGATGATTTTTTCCTTATCTTCTGAGATATTTTTGGTGTGATGTGCATTTTGTTTTTAATTTCCCAGATATACTTAGAAAGCATTGTACTGTTCGCATATTTACTATTTGTGAAAGATATTTTGTGTGTATAATTTCTTTGTTTCCAGGGTCCTTCAGTTACTCCTATGTATACTTTTTCTTCATTATCTGGTGATTTTATCGTGGCTTGGTATATTTTTTTGCAAACAATTTCCGTTTAAGGGACATTCGTTCTTTATTCTGCAGTTGCACGTGGGTTTAATTTGTTCGTGTGGTTTGTTGATAATTTTCCTATTGTGCTTTTTTATTATTTTTTATTATTATTTTTTATTATTTGTGCCATGCTCTCGGTGCAGCTGTAGCTGATTTTTACTGTGTTTTTATTTGAATATCTTGTGTAAGGTGCTTGATTCTGGGAAGTGTTTGTGTAAGAGTTTGAAGAATATTTTTCCTATGTTTGTTTTACGTTCTTGCTGTACGGTGGGTTGAACCATATGATATTTCTTCTCCTGTTGGCCTTTTTTGTATTCTGTGGTGAGTATGTGAGTATTGCTGGAAATCCGCTATCTTTTAGGGCCGTTTCATAGTCTTTCTTAGCTTTGTTAAATAGGGATTCATTGGAGGAATTCCAACCATCCGCCTTCTATAATCAAACAGATACCAAAATCGATTAACCGCAGGCTCTCCGACAATTCATGTGTGGTATGGTGCAGAGTCCTGTTGCCAGACTTAGGGTCTTCCAGCAGCCACCCTCTTGACCCAGGGCAGCACTACTCCCTCAAAGCACTTGATGTAGGCCATCACATTGAGTCTGATACCTATGGGAAGATGAATGGAGGCATAAGATTGCCATCACTAGTGATCATACTAAACACCTTCGTAATCACCATTAAACTCATTCAACACTTTCCAAATCCTCTGCACTGTCCTCAGATTGACACCTAAATACTCTGAAATGTTTGTATTGGAGCTTCCAGCATGAATGCCAAGTAATACAGAATGCTATTTCCAAATTTCTGGCAGAGTGAATGTCGTCATGGTGCTCTTTTTTGTACAGACAGTGCCCAACTAACCCTGCTATACTGTGCAGTTGATATAATCAAAAACAAAAAACATGTATGCACAAAATTAAAAATATGAAATTGTGACAATTTACCCATTGTACAAATAGTGATAGTCAAAGGTGTCTCGGTAAACATTAACCGCTCAGATATTTCAGAATTTCATATTAAATCTGGTGTATATTTTTTGAGCCCAGAAACGAATACTGGGATATTATATGACATCTAAGTTGGCAACTTCTCACCTGGAACATTTTCTGAATATGGATGGAAGATGGAAACAGTTAGAAAGATACCATATTTGCCTACTAAGAAGTCAAGATTTTATAGATAAAAAGTATATCTAAATATTAAAATGCATTCAATGCACATGAATGATGGATGCACCAACAAGTAGAAAAGTCTTATGCTTCAGGGAAAGAGAAGAATTTTTATGCATAGCTGTACTGCAAAATGCCTTTAGAATATCATTAATATATATATATATATATATATATATATAGAGAGAGAGAGAGAGAGATAATATTAGTGGTAAATATACACATACATATGCAATCATATATCTAAAATATATAAATATATATACATACATACATACACATACATATATATATATTATGAAATGGACTAAGTCTGACAATTATTTTAATGTATTTTCTGGATATACATTATTTTTTATAGATACAAATATTTAAGTAAATGGTCTGTTTATAATAAACAGTATGAACAACATTCAGGCCTGTAAACGTTAAAGCTGTTTATTATAAAGAGAGCATTTACTTAAATATTTGTATCTATAAACAGAATATATATATATATATATATATATATATATATATATATAATAGTTGGCCACTCATATTTGAGGATACCCATCTGCTAGCGTGGCTAGCCAGTGCCTATTGCAGATGCTCGCTCAGGCACACTTATGTTTGCTTAACACCCACAGAGCCCACCTGTGGTTTATACTGCTGAGCAGACCTTAGTTACCGTTTCTGGGAAAGAGTGTGTTATTGTTTTTTAAGCAAAGTAGTATTATATTTAAGAGTTTCAGTTAGAGAAGGAATGAGATTAGAAAATTTTAAATGGGTGTTGTCTATTTTACTGAATCTGGACACAAGTCTAATCTAAGATGGAAAAGTGAAAAATGTAAGTTAAAGTGCTGGTGTGACTATGTGATTTCTGCTTGCAAATACATGCTTTCATGTGTGAGACATGTCATTCTGTTTACCTATTTTGAAACTTATATAAGATACTTTAAAATACAAGGAGTTATTTATATTAACAATGGGTTAATTTTGGGATTTTTATTTATTTTTTTAAATTTATTTTTATTATTTTTTCTAAATACAAATGATTAAATCATATTTTATATATTTATATTTTTAATTATAAAGCTAAATGCTATATTTATTATATTTAATGGTACATTATATATGCATTGTTAAAATTAAAATTTAGGAATTAAGTACACATTTTTTTAATTGTAATTGTTGGCACGGTTCTTCATATAACATTGAAAATTATTAAGAACTAAATTTAATGTTACATCTAGGAAATCAACTTGTATGATATTAGAACTAATCTTTAATAACCTACCATCTGTAATCCAACATATTCCATCATCTATAGAATGTTGAATTTGCCAACACTCCTCTAATAAAGAAGTGTTTGAGAAACATAGAATGGTGTATACTAAAGTTCTTAGTGATAGTGGA